GCTATATAATCCATAATTAGAAATACCACTATCATAGCTAATCTATAATTCATGATTAACAACTACATTAAAAATTAATCCTCACTAATTAGCCCTAATCATGATTAATGCTTAAGATCCTAATTAGCAATATTAGCTATTATAAATCTCATTTCTAGTCTCCATTAATTTATTCAACCTCCATTTAGCTCAATGAACACTACTATTCAATCCCATTAGCTTAATCTAGGTTAAATAGTATTAGGGCTAAATCTAACCACATCATTAACAAATCTAACCATTGTCATTCGCATAAACTAATGAATAGAAGCATAAAACAACACCTTAAACTCTATTAAAGTCATTAAAATGGGTATAACGCAACTTGAATTTCAGACAACACTCTCCCATACCCAAAAACTCAAGAAAGAAGCATAGAAGAGGGAGAATAAGAGAAGAGGAAGCTTAGTTAAGGGTTTAACAACCACAAAAAGCTTCCAAAAACCCTCTAAGACAAACCCCAGTGAAGCCCTCTTTGTTCTCTCTCACCAGTTCTCAAATTTCTCTTTTGTTTCTATTTTTCCTGAATACCTATGTATAATTTAAAATTTATCACATCCACCACAACACATAACACTATTTGTTATAGTGGAAACTCTAATTTAAGCACATTAATTTGGGCCCCAAATGGTCCAACTGCTCTACTAGCCCCCTTTAAAGCTCTATAAAAGGTCCAATGTGCCTAAATAGCTGTCTAACTACTATAATTAATCTGATTAGGACCTAGATTAATTGATGTAACCCTTAATTAACTTTGACAAATCTTATTTTCAATTTCAAGATGTTATAGTGAGAAATTCACAAGTTCTTAGATCACATTTATGGTTATAGTGAAAAATATCAGGAGGTTTTTAGGGATTGGATGCAGGCTAAGTGAATTAGGCTAAGCCAGAATACATTCTTTGTATATTGATCTTTATCTCTCTCATCTTCATCTACTCTATTTATCCTCGTGTCATTCATATTCCAAGTGTTTGTAGTTAAGAGCTATAGGCAAAAAATTGAAAGACACTAAATTCATCTCATCTTAGATGACTAGCATATCGTACACTTCTAACTTTTTCTAATAAAGGCTAAAGAAAGGAAAAGGAAAAGGAAATCACCATCCTTTTCTTTTTATAACAGGAAATCATCTTTCTTAGTGAACTAAGAAAAGATAAATATGTAGCAATCATTCAATTGTGAGATAGAAACCACCAATCAGTATTTGAAACTTATTCCTTTCAGCTCAAAATTTTTTAGGTGTGCAAAAATTTGTTTGATACAGTAATGGATAAGAATTTCCTTATATAAATAAATTAATTGGATGCATATGGCCTTCTACTTAGAACTTTTACAGCCTAATTTCACAAGATTAATTGTCGACCTCCCATGCATGTGGCCTTCATTATACATCTCAATTGCCCATCTAATTTATTACAATACTATTATTTTCTCATATAATTGGTACGAGCACAAGTAAATCTAATGCAATACTTTCGTATTTAATTAATCCAAATAATTAATTATAAAATTATTGCTCTGTTGTAACAACCATAAGTATGGGCTTCCTATGCAATTCACGGGGGATTACAAACTGATTGTAATTAATTGGGAAGAAAAGTTCATAACAAAGCCAAGGATACACACACACACACACACACACACAAACAAGTTCAATGTTGGGAATTATGCAAGCAATCCACTTCAATTAAATATTATCTACCTAAGCATGTATTTATGCATGAACAATTGTATGCTACTCTTTCAAGAGTGAAAAGTATCAAGTATGGAGGGGTAATTGAAGATTTTGTTTAGTGATTAGACAAGTTAAGTTGTTGCTATTTGGGCAATGTTCATATGAGTTAATTTAATGTTAGTTGTTCTATAATATCATTTCTTTATTAATAATATATTTTTTTAGGGAGAATGATAGTAAAATCTTGAATGTGAGAATTAATAACAGTTAGGTCTCCAATAAAATTTTTAAAAAATGAGTTATGAATATTAATTCAGAATGTTATAAATAGAAATCTTAATTATAAACTGAAAGTTACTTTTAGAATTTAAATGTATTATTTATAATTGAAATTTTTAAATTTATAATTATTTGAATTGATATTTGTAACTCATTTTTTAAAATTTTTTGTCAAGGACCTAACTATCATTAATTATTCTTTTAAAAACTTAACTACTATTCTCCATATTTTAATTTCTCTTTTTCTTTATATTTAAAGAAGTATATTTTTATTTTATTTCTTTTATATTTATCAGCATTATAAGTGCGATGATTAGATTTAGATGCTTAGATGCTTATGACGATGATTATATCTTTTTGTAACATTTATTTGCAAAGCTCTTTTGATATAGACTCTATCATTAGCTGAGAATTGCAAGATAATTTTTTAGTTAGGTTTCATATCGTACTTGTGAAATTATCGATTAATAACCTGACATCTTTCGCAGAAAAAACATTAATTGATATATTTAAATTGGTTTGATGAGTCATGCATCTTAAGAACCAATTATGAGACGTCTAGGTTATTTTTAATTATTTATGTAGTTGTTGTTCATTATGTATTGTATATATATTTTTTATTTTATTAGTTAAAGGCATAAAGTTTTCAATCATTCATACTCCATTTGTACAAAAAGGTAAAGCATTTTAACTGAATCTTATCCTTAAATAAAATAATTATCTATTTTTAAATTAATTTTATTTTTTTATATTTACCCCTATAATCACCCTACAATAAATATAAAGTTATTATCAATAGAGTCACTTTTGAAAAAAAAATAATAATTAAACCTTAAAAAATTAAAAATGCTTTATATTTTTGAACATCCAAATTTTAAAAAAATATTTATATTTTTGAAAAAACAAAATATATGTTTTAATAATAGTTGTATTTAATATTTATTACTTCCTATAAATCACACGGGATAATTGGTGCTTACATAATTTAATGTTAGATTTTTTATGTGCTATTTCTTTATTGATAACTCTTTTTTAATTTCCCTTTTTTTCTCACCTAAAGAAGCTATTTTTTTTTTAAATTTAGTTCGTTCATCTTTAACGGCATTATAATTATAATAATATAATTTAGATGTTTATTAGTGGTGATTATTGTAATTTTTTAATAATATTTATTTGTAAAACTTTAAGGGAGAATGATAATTAAGTCTTAAAAGAATTAATTAATTCAAATTAAGTCACAATAAATTTTAAAATACCAAAAAAGTCCCTTGCATGGACAAATTTAGAGAGGGGCGGGGGTCATTTCACCACCCTCCAATCACTCTTTGAAAAAAAATTAAAAATTTTTACTTGTAAAAAATAAAAATAGATTTTGATCCCCTCACTTCATGTTACATTTTCAATTTTGCCCCCATACATTGGTTCCTAAATTTGTTATTAACTCTCTTGATTGTTTAATGGTAATAAGTCTAATAAGAATTTGTAAAGATTTATAAATTTAGCTTTCAATTTTATAACTTTGATATGATATATTTACAATTTTTTTTAAATTTTAATAAGGAAAACAAATGTTCATCTTTAATATTGAGAAGTATTAAATCTAATAGTTTTAAGAGTTTATAAGTTTAGCTCCTTATTTTGCAACTTTATTATGATACATTTGTAACTTGTTTTCTTGATTTTAATAGAAAATACAAATGTTCATCTTTAATATTGAAAAGTATTAATTTTAATAATTTTAAAGATTTATAAGTTAAGTTCCCAATTTTATAATTTCATTGTAATAAATTTATAATTTATTTTTCATATTTTAATAGGAAATACAAATATTCAAATTTAATGTTGAAAAATATTAATTCTATTGTTTATTCTTTATCTTTTTCCTATTTATCAATAAAATAAATAAATCCTTTATTTTTCCATTGCTTATTGTTTATTTTTTAACTCTATTAAAATTTAAAAAATAAGTTACAAATGCATTACAATAAAGTTACAACATTGAGAATTAGATTTGCAAATTTCTGAAGGTATTAGATTTATTACTACTAAAGGATTAAATGACTTTGTTGGCACTCTAAAATTAGTTGAGACTTAATTTAAATTAATTAATTTTCTTAAAATTTAATTGTTGTTCTCCCAAACTCTTAAATTGATTTCAATGGAAATGTATACTTCTCTAGCATTGCATGAGAGAGTATATGGTGCTAATGATAATAATAGACATGTTTTTCATACGATGCATTGTGAGGCAATATTTTAAAACTTGGACTGGACGTCGAATCAAAAAAGCAAAGGTACAATTTTCGTGGTTCAATTGACTAGACAGAGATTGAACCGATGACATAAAAATTAAATAAAAATAATATTTATATATACAAATATATAAATAAAACATTAATTTGTCAATGATGCTTGGGAACTCGACGCTAAATATTAGATGTCTGGACTGTTGGAGTTAAAAGCAGAAGTATGTTGGTACAAGCTTGCAATCTCAAATGAAAACGTTAGAGCAGCAGGCACGCCGTCATATCACAATTCATGAACTTTCAATCTTGATGCCAAAAGTTGAATCACTAGAGATAGAGGCAGAGGTTGAAAGAGAGGTCAGAAATTAATCGTGAGTCATGAAAGAGAAATCAAAAATTAGATGTTAAAAAAAAAATCGTGAAACTAAGAGACTTAAACTAAATATTTTTAGTTTTGAATAAGGTTGATGTGAGTTGACTCACTTTAATTTTTAAGTCAAATTTATTTCTCTAAAATCTAGCTGAGTCAACCTAATTTAAATATTAAATTAGTCCAATTAGTTGGATTAAATTATTTTGATCAGCGAATAAAAGTCGGACCGATTGAGCCGTCCAGTCCATTTTGGATTTTAAAATACTGGAGTGAGGGAATGCTTCTCGTCCATCATAAGGGAGGCGGTACTACTTTTAAAAAACCAAAAAACAAAAAAAGAAATCCACCGTGGCCAGAGATCCTGTCTAAATTGAAATTCTCCCAAAATATAACTTCTTCCTGCCCATTATCAACCAGAACATGTTTTCCCTCCCAATCGATTGTGTGGCAATTCGCATTCAGAAATCCGAACTGTCCAGGGGATGACAATGCAATGCTATCCTCACTCTAATTCAACTCGCTTTCTTTTACCCTTCCAATCTGCCTCTCCCTCGCCTCCCAATGTTCTTGCCTCTGCAATTTCGCCTCTCTCTTCAACCCCAAGAAGAGCTCTTTCTCTCTCCCTTATCTCCGCCGCCTCTTTCTATGCCTTAATCTCCTCACTTCCTCCTCCTTCATCGGCGTCGTCTTTGTCATCTTCCTCTTCTTCAAAATTCCCCGTATCTGACTTCTTTGAGCTCCCGAATTCTGGTGGCGTTAAGGTTTTGGACTTGCTTGATGGTTCCGGAGAAGTTCCCGCCAAGGGAGACCGGGTGTTTCTTTCTTTCTTTTTTCTTGATTTCTGAGTTTCTGCTTTTTGTTCTGTGCAGTATTGTATACTAATGCCATATACTGTTATTTGCTTCTTTTCTTGGGTCAAATTATTTGTTGCTATTAGCATGCCATTTGTTTGCTTTTGGAGGATATCTTTTCCTCTTCATTTGCATCTTTCTTCATTCTTAGTATAATTAATAATTTATCGGGTCTCATCATTTGGTGAAAAATGAACTCTCTTGCTTTGAAGGTTGCAATTCATTACTATGGACGGTTGGCAGCTAAACAGGGATGGCGCTTTGACTCAACATATGACCACAAAGATGAGACTGGAGAATCAAGTCCTTTTGTTTTCACCCTTGGTTCTGGGAAGGTAAGCTTAAATGTCAATGTCCTCCTTATACTAGTTGTCTAATGGAGACACTAATATTTAAGAAATTTGAAGCTATTTGCTATTTGGTTCCAATTTGAGACTCTGTTATACCTCTGTAATTCAAGATAGGAAGAGAGGGAAAGAGAGGAACAGAGGAGAGAAGAGCAGAAAGAATGAGGGAATTTGAGAGATAGAGATTGAGAAAAATAGGGAGACAAGTGTATCACTGAATGGTGTGCATTATTATTGATGACTTAGGATCCTGGGAATACAATAAATAAGAGGTATTTATAGGCTCTAATATAACAGATAATATCCTAACTAACCTAATGGCTAGTTTAATACCTAACACTGTCATATTTACAATTACATAAGAGACTCATGGGATATTATCTAGGGAATTTCTTTTAACCTGCCCCTTTTTGCGGAAATGGAAGTTAAGAGCTTAACTGAGGCCAAGATAGACATCTTAAGCCTGACTTTTCCCTCTCTGTACTGTCTCCCTTCTCTATCAACGATTGTGATGGCCTCCTTATACTAATTGTCAAATCGAGACACTAATAGTGAAGAAATTTTAAGCTATTTGGTCACAACTAGAGAGAAATAACGATATTTTTCAGAGATTTTATTATATCCTACCCTTTTATAGTAATGGATTTCAAGAGCTCTATAAGGGCCAAGGTAGACATATCTAGAGCTTTCTCCTTCTCTGTCTTCTCATGTTGTCTCTTGATATCTTCATATAAATATGACAAAAGCCACTCATTTGTCAGTAGAGACATTCATAGACTGGCTTGTGACATAGCCATTTCTAACATGATGCTTGTCAATCGCTAATTATAATATGTGGCACTTGAGAAAGATAGCTTAAGATGCTAAAATCCTCAAGCAGCTATACGCAACTGACTAATCTTAATTAAATGGGCTAAAAGAATTATTAATGCCTATGGTAGACTGATTTCCCACTCTCTTAAAAGAATCTGATAAAATATTACGAATGTGAATTTTTGTAAATATGCTTTTTAAGCATAGGAATGTGCCAACATATTGGGGAAGAAATGGGAATATGGAACATGCTAAGTTACTTGATGGGCTATAATATAAATTTTCTTACCTGGTTGAAGGAGAAAGGCATATGGCATGTCTCAACAAGAAAAATGTGAAGTTGAAAAATCAGCCCTCTTATCTTGCAATTTATAACGTTCTAAAACCCGTCAAATGAGAGCACATGGGGTTACATAACAATGAGGTTGAGACCAAGAAAATGAAGTTTGATTGAATAAATGTGCCTTATTTCGTCTCTGACTCTGGTCACATCATTTAATCTGGTATGGGAGAGCTTTAACTTTCAAAATCAGCTCTCAATAAAGTGTAATTTTCAATAGAAGGTGGTACTGTCAACAGTTTTAATTTGCGCAAGAGGGTTTTGAGAAAAATAAAAATTGGCTTGTTTTGATTGGTGAAGGAGCTGGGTGACATGAACCTCTGAATTGTTTGGGTACATGCGTACATGGTTTGCGAAATTGGGCAGGTTCAATCTTGCCTAGGCTAGATTTCAGTCACAACCTATTTTTGTCTTTCTAAAACATAATATTGTCATATTGTCATACGGGCATTGTATGCAACATGCAGGTCATTCCAGTAATTGAGGCAGCAGTGAGATCAATGAAAGTAGGTGGCATCCGTCGGGTCATTATCCCTCCATCCCAAGGATATCAGAACACGTCACAGGAGCCCATCCCGCCTAATGTAAGCTAATTTTTATTGCCCAACTTTATGATGATGGCTTAATTTATTATTTGTATAGACTTTAAACTTCATTCTTTTTTGATTAAAACACATGTAGTCCTAGAAAGAGTGCAAATTGTTTATTTGCCCGTCTAAATGTGACCATCTGACTATTAAGCCGAAAAGCAGTTCTCGTTGGGAATGTTTGTAAGGTGTGGACTAAAGAGATAAATTCTTAACAGTTTAAAACTTCAACTCCAGAATTGAAACATACATCAATGTCAATTGTGATATGTTCATAACTACAAAGGTGGCCAAAATTTCTTCTGATGCGTTTAGGAGAGACTGGGAAGGTACTCCATTTATATTGATGTGTTTATTGTGTTCACTTATTTCTATCATAATCAAAATGGAGCAACATTTGGTTGTAGTACTACAAATGTATTGTTAAAAACCCTTTCTGCCAAAAGTGGAAAAGTGTAAGCAATGTACTTGCAATTATTTTTAGGGATTTTTAATGTGAAAAGTTGATCCTTGTTGAATTTTGTATGAAAAGATGATGATGAGAGAAAAGAGGAAATGGGATCACTAATTTACTTGAATTATATCGAGAAGCTCTATGTGTGACAATTTATAACTTGCGAAAAAAGCTCCAGTACTAAAAGTATAAACTAGTTCAAATCTAGCTGACTTTGTTATGACACGCTTTAACCTAAACACCGAACTATTGTAAAACTCCCCTCAAAAAAGAGCATTGAAATCAATCATGTGCAAACTTGTTTCGAATGTGTACAACTTTGTTACCCACGTTAGTGAAAACATCTGCAAGTTACGCGCCATTCCTCATGCTCAATTGAATTTTCAATGTTAACCTTTCTTCTTTAGGAGTTACCCTTGCACATTTTGCCCTATATACCAATGCCTAATCATAAATTACATTAACTTTAAAATGTGACATGACTCTATCCTGAACTCTGACCTAAAACAAAAACATTAAAGCTTGGTTAATTAGGATTTGGATTCAGTGAATGGCCTAAGTTTACTCACTCAATAAGTGTTTTAATTATAGTTAATGGATTTCATCAATACTTGAAAATTATTAAGATGCATTTCCTTTCAAAAATTTAAAACAATCCTTATGACTAAAACACTCTTACATAAGTTGTCTGCTCAAAAAATTTGAGATTTGGTACTTTTTGAGTAGTATATAACCAAATCCCATGGCCTTTTGCCATTAATTTTCACCAGGTTTTTTAAGGTTTAGGGTTGTTTTATTAGTTTTTACACTGCGCTATGGACATTCCCCCAATATTTGATCTGTTGTTCAAACAGTACTGATCATTTTAGTAATCCTTCTATTCCTCCTCTGTAATAAAAGTTCTTTGACAGGCAAAGGCTGTTCACTACCATTTTTAATCCAACTCGTCTTGCAAATGGAGAAGGCTCCACTTTGGGAACTCTTATATTTGATATCGAACTGGTTAGCCTGAGGCATCATTGAGGTCAACTTATATGAGCTAGGCGTGAAAAACACAAAATCACAGTCCATTGACAAGTATTTTGTGCAGACAATGGAGAATCCAGCTTAGTCAATGCCACTATCCACCGCCTTCCAAAAGATCAGGGACCCTGTTCTTGAGGTTTGTCACCTCAGACTTTAATATCAAGTCTCCGTATGTAGATTGTTTTTCTTTTTAATAATAAAACTTTCACATTTACAAGTAATAGGAGAGATGAAGGGTGTATAAGCTTGCGGCAACACTAAATTAGTAACTATAATAGCTTAAGCTATTTTTGTGCCTAAGCCCTTGTGACTTATCCATGGAAGAAGAATCTAGAGCCTAACGGCCACAAGATTCGAGAACGCCCATATATGTATTGTTGTTATATTTAGTTGTTAATGGAACTAGCTACAATCCCGTGCGTTGCAGGGGTAAGCAATTTCAATAAGATATAAAGTCAACTAATGATAGTATAGTCAGAAAAAAATTATCATAGTATGTGACACTTGATCAAAAAGAAAGTGACGTATAACTTAACAATAATTACTGTATGTAGAAAAAAAAAATGCTTGATAAGGAAGTCAAGCATTTTTTAACAAAGTTCACTATATATATATAGTTCAAAAACAAAGTTAAAAAAAAAAAAATCAAGCATTTGTAGTTTTGCATAGTAGAAATGAAATGTCAATTTAAAAATTTGTAGTTTTGCACATTGTTCATTCAATGACGTTGTGAGGGTTGGTTAATTTATAACATATATATATATATATATATATATATATATATATAAAACTGCACGCCACAAGTTGGTTAAACGCATATATGGTTATACTATCTTATTACCTATATATATATATTTAAGTAATAATAGTATAGTTCAGACAAGTATAATCATAATATGTGGCACGTGGTCAAGAAAAAATGAAATATTGCTTAACAAAAGTTATTGTACTTGGCAAAAAGTGTTTACCATTCTTCACTATATAGTAAGCACAAAAAATTTTACAAAAAATCATGCATTTGTAGCTTGATGGTTTTGGAAAAGATTGAAAAGTTGAAGATTCTGAAATATTTCTTCATGCATTATATTAATAATACTTAAAATCTAAATCAACAAAATTTTCATTTTTTTTTAAATTGCACTTGCCCCCTTTAAATTTCCAATTAACTCCATAAAGATTCAATGTCTATACACATTAAAGATAAGCTTACACCTGTATATGGTTACTCTATTAATTTGCAGCGGTTTTTATTCTTCTACGACAGTCAGTTTGTAACCCATAAACTTGGGGATGAAACCAAAACTTCACGATAGCAATTATTTAAAAATATAGCGGGCATATTTTCTCATAGTCAACATAGTTTAAGTTTTTTCCCCCAATAATCAAAGGCATTGTGATGTACTGAAAAAGTTACTAAAATTATCTTTGCGCTATAGAATGCTTTCAACTTAAATATCTAATTATTATTTTATATTTTAAATAGTTTGATTCCCACCTAAACTTCTAGTATGAATAATCTTTGTAAGAATTTAAATTGACATGGAAATTTTAAATATTTATATTTAAATATGCAAAAATAAATTATCTACTCATCATGATTGTTCTAGTGACTCCCGTTTAATATATATTCACTCATGAATGTATAATGTAACATAAATAAAGTAAATTAATTAATATTTTTTAAAAATTTTCAATATTAAAGTATGAGGATGGATAAATATTTGTGAGAAAAGCTTTGCCACCAATGCAATCCTACCTGGCTTAACTCATAAATAATAAGTAATTGTATCAAAAAAAAAATGAAGATGGATAATAAATTAGAAAATCAAAATTATGATAAAATCTTAATTTGACATTAATTTTGTTAATTGATTTTTAGTCATCCTCTCGAAACAAGAAAGATTTTTTTTTTTTGGGCTAACAAAAGATATCTTAATTTCGCCCAATTTTGTTTCTTTGAATGGTTACTCTTATTGCCCAATACCTTCGTTTCTAGCCATGCCCCTGGATTGTTGGGTTCAACCTCAAAAGCAATATCCAACCTTCCGCAAACTCTTGGAAATGGCAGCTAACTTTTGTTTTGACTTGCTGGAAGCTTTGCGAGTCCAGAAACAAATGCATCTTCACTACTGAGCATTTGCAGCCATCTGGCCTATAGACTTCTGTACAAGCTCGTTGAGAAACGAGTTTGTACAGAATGGATTGCTAGAGAAAATATACCATGCAGGCTAGAGAAAATATACGACTGCTTGGCTTCCATGTTTTGTGATTTTCCTTTCCTTTTTATTTCATTTATTCACTATTTGATGTACTGTTTGTTCCTATTTGAATATATATATATATATATATATATTCCCACTCAACAATAATGTTTTTGAGTGGGGATGTTACGAGTCAAACCAATAAAACTGATGATGTTTTTTTTTTTTTAATAAAAGATCCCAATAACACTAATAAAATAATAGATAGGTAGAGCCGTAGAGGGAGGGAGCTCTTAACTCTTATTTCCCAGAAAATAAGTACATCATACATATTCATACATATGGAAGTGAATTTGCCTCAGAAAAATACACGCATAAAACCATTGTCCATATGGAAGAAAAAAGAAAACAACTAAATCCTAGAATCTAGAATACTGCGAAACAACTCTACAGAGGCTTGTGACTAGCTCATACTAGAAACTTGGTGAAGCTAATCTTTTTATAGGAATTATAAAATATTATTTTAACGGGGAATAGCATTACCACCATACTTGCATAGCATCCTCTCAGTCTTTCTCATCTTTCTTTCATGGCTTACAAAAAGCAGCTTGCCTATTTATTTCTATCACAAAACAAAGCTGAAGAGGTCCTTTTGTGTCATGAGTCATACTACCCATCAGAACAACAAACAAATAGCAGAAAGAACAAACTGAGAAGAAAACATAGCCAGCAATGCATCAATGAAACCAGGAGGACATGTATTAACATCAGTGTAATTTGAAGCATGTCTAGGTCAAAACATGCAAGAGAACACCTGAGATCAGCCCATCCATTGATAGTGTAATGAGTTAGGTCCTTTCCATCAGATATGACAATGAAAGAGGGCAACAAGGCAGATGGGACCTTTTTAAAAAGCAAACAGGAAAATACAACTGTATCTTGATTCTTTTTTGTAATTGTTTTTTAACATGTTTTTGTTTTAACATAGAGAAGTGCAACGTACTAGTAGGAGCATCTCACTAGACGATTCTGGGCTTCCTTTTGTCATTATTTGAATTGAAACTAATGCATGCTAACAGCTGGTGATATATATGTATCCGTTGATGGGACCTTTTCATGAGGATTGAGAAAGGCAGGACACCTTGAGCATTGTGCAATGAAATCGACATCCTACATCTTGGGCCATGTTTTGTATAAGAGAATCATAGCATGAAAAATGAAATTGGACCTAGAATTCATATACCAGTGTGTTTGGTATGTCAGATTTGTAATTCCCGTGGAATCAATTCAATATGATAAATATAAAAGTTAGATGGTATGGATATATAACAATTTCTTCATCGTGTTTAGTAGATTAATTAGAGGACAAAGGAAACATCCATTTTTTCAATTCTCTATAAATATATTATATGGACCTCTTATTTAAAAACATCTTACCTGCCACCTCTTAAAAAGTGGAACTTAAAAAATTTCTAAACTTGCATAGCCTCTAAATTCTCTAAGTAAATATATTATCAGTAAGATGACTTCTCCTAAAAGTGAATATATTACATGCAACATGACAAAAGTAAGTTAAAGTTGATACAAGCTAAATGATTGAGTTATAACTTCTTGGCCACATTCTGATCATATATAAAACATCAAAGAATAATAATGCCACACCAGTTGTCAGTCACCTCTCACCAATTGACTAATGGAATTTCAACCAAACTCCTGCATAAATTGTGCAAAAAAAAAAAATGAGAGCAATTAGTAAGTGAGACCCTGTTTCTTTTAGTAGCAATGAAATCATTAAGCAATTTGTCAAATTTCAATCACATAAACCAAGTAAGTCTGTAGGTAAGACTTCTATACAGCTATACCAGGTAAGGAATAAACTAACTTCTGAGTAATCCATGTAACCTTAATGCATTACATGCGATGAGAGTATTTATGATGTAGGAAAAAAAAAAAAAACAAGTAGGATTTAGACTGCATTGCACAACGCTCTATATGTCCTTTTCTACCTCCTCTCCTAAGAAACATATCCCATCATAAATAAACTAAAGAACCTTTATTAAAGTTGATCCTGTGGACTGTTATATGTCATTCAACAGATACTTCCAGGAAAAACAAACTCATAAAGCATGGGATTTTGAGCATTGTGCACAATCCTTTAATAATCCCAAAACCTTCGTGGAAATAGCCATGGCTTATGACCCTAACAGAAGCAACATAGCTTATGCAGATGCAAAACGGTTTTGTTCACTTGCAATTTTATAAATGTTGATGTTGATGCAAAACAATTTTGTTAACTTGCAATACTGTAATATCAATGAAGATGACAATTTTAACATGAAAGGGCCAGAAAACCTGTTTGATCATCTACCAAAATATATAAATAATAAATAAATAAGCCAAAAAAATGTCAACTTGACAAATCAAAAGGTATGGACAGATGAAGTTACGTCCACGAAAGATGAAGAACTGTATTAAGATGAAGTAGAACATTTAGCCAAAAAGAAAAATAGGGAAAATCTGCATTATCACATGAAATAATACATACAACACCATTTTAGATGGCTCTTGTGGTTGAATTTAATTATTTCTCAGTGGCTTGAAGAGTCCAATTATTCATCATGTCTCCTATTCCTAATATCTCAACTCCATGATTTGTCTTTTTCTTTGTCTTGATTGCCACATCAAGAGGAACGAAGCTCCCACACACTATTACCCTGCTTTGCTTCTCTATGATATGTGATTCTAGTTTTGGTTCACCCAATACAAAAATCATTCACAGCATCGAACCCAGATTCTGAAATATTTAAAAAAGGGTACATTTAATTTTTTTTGAAGGCTAACCTGGCATTTCAAGAAGGGCTCTCTTCCTTTTCTGTAATAACCATTGCAATCTATATTGATCCTTATCATCATCCACAGATACTGCAAAGCACAGAGCAAAAAATGAAAAAAAAAAAATCATGGTTGGTTCAAAAATGGTTTCTAAGTTT